CACAGGTCCTTCAGGAAAAGCAAGCTACTGGAATGAACAGGTCAATGAAATTATTTGTAGAATGGGATAGTTGTCTATATTCAGATCATTAAGCTATTTTTAAATAGCCTGAAACCAAATCCAGATTCAAAAAACAAAGCCAGAACCATTCACTATGTTTATTAAAATACAATCTCTTACTATACCTAGCACAGTAACAGAGGCTACACTCACCGGATTATGACTGAAATTTAGAAAGGTGCCAAAGAAACTTTATAGAATAGCTACAAAATGTTGCTTATACCTATTATTCAAAGTGATATAAAATAAAAGCTTACTTGATGTTTTAGGACTTGAATCTTAAAAGTAAAATCCAGGAGAAAAAAGAATGTGGTCAAATGTTATCAGGCTTTTAAAAAAGATTTTTTTTTATTGATTGATTTCAGAAAGAGAGACAGAGGAAGGGATAGGAAGAGAAAAAGAGAGCGAGCATGAGAGAGAGCATGGGAGAGGGAGAGGGAGAGGGAGAGGGAGAGGGAGAGAGAGAGAGAGAGAAAGAGAGGGAGAGAGGGAGAGAGATGCATTCATTGGTTATTTCTTGTATTATATGTGCCCTGACTGGAGATCCAATCTGCAATCTTGGAGTGGAGGGCACTGTGAGCTACCTGGCCAGGCCCAGCCTAATTTTTTTGTTTTTATTGATTTCAGAGAAAGAAAGGGAGGGAGGAAAACATTGATGGGCTGCTTCTAGCACATGCCCTACCACTGATCAAGCCTGCAATATGGGCATGGGCCTTGACCAGAAATCAAACAGGCAACCTCTCAGTGCATGGGACAACTCTCAACCAACTAAGCCATACTGACCATGGTGGGCCAGCCTTTTTAATTAAATGCATTATCTAAAATATATAAGTTGCTGTATATTAAGATTTTGAACACTCAAATAATCTCTACCCTTTCACCTTTCAGCTTCTTTTAAACATTTTCTCATAAAATAATGAAGTTCTCACAATATGACGCAGAAAAGACCTACAGGGAGCCATTCCAACAACACTTGTGGTAGAACTCTAAATTCCCTTTGTTCCTACCACCTTGTCCACAAAATGCTTCCTAATTAATGGAAATATTCCACGTTCCTGAATAGGAAGAATCAATACTGTCAAGGTGTTATTTATTCCTAACTTGATGTACAAATTCAATGCAATCTCAATTGAAACCCCAGTCACTAATCTTGTGGATGTCAACAAACTGATTCTAAAATTTTTACAGAAAGGCAAAAAAACTCAGAATAGTCAACACAATATATATATATTAAATAATATATTTTTTTATTGATTTCAGAGAGGGAGGGAGAGATAGAAATATCAATAATGAGAGAGAATTATCAACTGGCTGCCTCCTGTACACCCCCTATTGGGAATGAAACCTACAACCTGGGCATGTGCCCCAATTGGGAATTGACCTGTGACCTCCTGGTTCATAGAGTGATGCTCAACTACTGAACCACATTGGCCAGGCTACCAATACAATATTGAGGAAAAGCTGGAAGACGGACACTATTCAATTTTAAGACTTACTATAAATCTACATTATGGTATCAGCAAAAGAACAGAGAGCCCAGAAACAGACCTACACAAATATATTTAACTCAACTTTGACAAAGGTGCAAAGACAATTCAATGAAAAAAGAAGAGACTTTCCAACAAATGAAACTGGGGACAAACAGACATCCACAAGCAAATAAATAAACAAATAAATCTAGACACAAACCTTAACTCATAAGATTAACTCAAAATGGGAATGTTATGACCAAACAAGCTTTTGCAGTTCAATATTTACTGAGTATGTATAACATTAAGCTAGAGTCTGAGGACAAAAACATGAAAAAGAACCCTGCCTTCAAGAAGCTCAGAGTTCAGTAAATAAAAGGACAATAGTATAAAGAAACACAATATAATGCAATCAGGACAATAATAAAATATGTATAGAGGCCAAAGGTTAACACAAAGGAGGCACAGTAATGAGGTACAGAACAGAAGAAATCTGTAGAAAATAAATGAAATGGAAGCAAGTAAACTACCAGATACAGAGATCAAAACAATGATTCTGAGGATATTCAAAGAATTTAACGAGAACTTTGACAAAGTTCCTAATTTGGGACATATCTTATGGGACAGATACTCTGAAATACTGTCCTAGAGAAACAATGATGAATAAGACAAAGTCTCTGACATCATGGAATCAAGTAGGGACCAATAAGAATGCCAGTAAAGTACAGTGTGGTAAATGCTACAATAAAAATAAGTAGAGCTATTAGAGATTTATGGGCAAAGCTGAAATAAGACAAACTGATATGCAAAACATGAACAGAAATTATCCAGGTGAAATCCTATATAATAAAAGACTAATATGCAAATCAACCGAATGGCAAAATGACCAGTAACTATGATGCACACTGACCACCAGGGGGCAGATGCTCATGGCTGGTGAGTGCAGTAGTGGTAGCAGGAGCCTCTCTCGCCTCTGTGGCAGTGCTAAGAATGTCCAACTGTTGGGTAGGCCCAGAGGGAGCGGGCCTAAGCTGCCAGTCAGACATCCCCCAAGGGCTCCCGGACTACAAGAGGGTGCAGGCCAGGCTAAGGAACCCCTCCCCAATGCACAAATTTTGTGCACCAAGCCTCTAGAGTGTGAGTGTGTGAGTGTGAGTGTGTGTGTGTGTGTGTGTGTGTATGTATATGAGTCTGGAGTGAAGTGGAAGATGTTGTAGAAAGGCATAACATTCCAGGAACAGAGAAGAACATACAGTGAGACAGAGAATGGAGCTCAGTATGCCAGAAGCATAGGTGTCTAAGATAACGCTAAAGTGAAAGCAATATCTTTTAAATTGGAGTTTGGACTTCACTTTGAGGGTAATAAGGAACTACTAAATGCTTTTGCTTTGTTGTGTTTTTTTGTTAACATGTAAAGACTTCTTCCGATTTGTATTTAAGAAGAAAGTATGTACTATAGTACAATGAAAAAAATACAAAGAAATAAATCTGGAAGTAAAGAAAAGAGCTGCACTGACCCAGAAAAATTTTTTATAGTGGTCTGAACTAAGATAGTAGCAATGGAAATAGAGAAAGTGGGTGGGGAGGCTGAGAGATTTAAGAGGTAGAAGAAACAAGACTTTCAACTGATTTGATTGGAAGTAGAGAGAAAGAAAAAGGAGTCAAAGATGATGGATGCCTCAGTTTCTGGTTTGGGCAAATGGTGGATGATAGTACTATTCAGTAAGATGAGAAAAATGGGAGAGCATATTTTGAGAGGGTAAAATAATCACTTTCATTTTGGTCAGGTTATTAATACTAAGTGACGAAAGGGCAGGGAACATCTACAGTGTGGATACACTGGACAGAGGGATGATTCATGTCCCAGGTGGAACAGCATAAAGTTTAATTTCAGCACAGAATTCAAAACTTATGAATTATTTCTGGAATTTTCCATTTAATATTTTCAGACTGTGGATAACTGAAACAATACTGTGGATAAGGTGGGGAATACTAGGTGGGGTGGGCAAAGTAGTACATAAAAGAGTTTGTTTTTGTATTATTATTTCCCAAACAACTGTAAATCTACTTTTTTCCTACCTCTGTATATACATACAATGGGATATTAAGCCTCCAAAAGGAAGGAAATGCTGACTAGTGCTACAACATGGATAAACTTTGAGGTCATTATGCTAACTTAAATAAGGCAGACACACACACACACAAAATACTGTATAATTCTACTTATATGAGGTATCTAGAGTAGTCAGAAGCATAAAGACAAAACAGAATGGTGGTTGCCAAGGGCTGGGGAGAAGGAAATATGGATTTAATTATTCAATGGGTATAGAGTTTTAGTTTTGCAAGATGAAGAGTTATGGATATGGATGGTGATGATGGTAGCACAATATGAATGTACTCAATACTACTTAACTGTATATGTAATAATAGTTAAAGTGGTAAATTTTATATGTGCATTTTACCACAGTAAAAATTTGGCGCGAGAGGTGGGGGAGGGAGAGACGGGGACTGAGAAGCATCAAGGGCTGAAGTACCTCTTTTATTGCTTTATGTGTGTGTGTATGTATATATATGTGTGTGTATGTATATATATATATATATACATACACACACATACACTCTCAGAGTAATTCTACAGATCATTATTATTAAGCCAAACGTTTTTATACTGAAATACAGACTTCTCTAGCCTTCTCTTCAGGGCATATAACTCACCTTAGACATTAACCCCTTGAGGAAGCTGATGTTTCTATTACACTGTAATGGCATGCATTTTGCTCCTACCTTTTATAATGGGAAATTTCAAATATATATAAAGGAAGAGAGAAATAAACAATGAAACCCCATATAGCTATCACCCAGTTTAAACAATCAACCCATAGACAATTTTGTTTTATCTATAATTCCACCCACTTTATTCTTCTCCCAGTGGATTATTTTTTAAGGCAATCACAGGTATCATATCATTTCAAGCATAAATATTTCAGTATGTTATCTCTACATACTAAAAGATACTGTTGAAAAATACATATTGAAAGATGACCAGTGTCCTACCTAAGTTCCTGGACTAGTGGGTCAGATTTCTGAGATATTCTTCCAATAAGCCATATATTAAACACAGGAAAATAACACATTCAATCATTCTACTGTAGTTCCTTACCACTAAGAAGTGCTTTCAAACAAGAAAAATCAAGAAGAAAATTACTTAAAAAGTTTCAATTGTAATGGGATCACTGATCAAATATGGTCTTAGAGGCCTCTTAGGAAAGAGGTGGAGAAAGGTAAACACTCTCTACCCCTGTCAGAGGTAACTGATTTTTCATGTTATACAAGTCATTTGGTGAATGATAACAACACAGTAATAGTATATAAATATTATTATACGTAAAGTAATGCATGTGCCTTAATGTTTTATAAAGCAAATGCAAAAAAATTAGCTCAATGCAGAAAATTTTATTCAACTGTCCTTACCTTTTGTCGGACTGAGGTTCTGATCTGTAAATCCTCTTAATTCTGCATTTGTGGAACTCAAACCAACCTGGATAAAATGTTTTTTTAAAAGATAAAAAGATCTAAGTATTAGATGATCACTTAATAAGCCATTTCATACCTTCCACTAGAGGTCCATATTAAATAATAACATAGTCACATAAAACTGAATTAATTACAACTACAGGAGGATTAAAAAGAAAATGTTGCCATATTGCTTGAATGAGGAAAATATGAATTGCACAGATAAAGTAAAAATTTTTAAATGTTAGTTATGAGGAAACTAAGGTCTATAGGTTTTACTACTAACAGTTTTGTAAACACTGTGGCAGCCAAGAACTTGCCGATAGATATACCAAAATTTCTCACCCTCACTACTTCCCTTCATTTTTACTATTCAGAATCACTGCCTATGATGCTTTTCAACATTATGACATGTAATGGACCAAATAAAGACCATTAATAACACAATGAAACTCTGAAGATGAGTGGGACTTGTTTTAGGATGAGCTGGAAGACTTTTATGGCTTGGATCACTACAGCTTCATGTGGTGCATGAACTGGTCTGCTGAGTCTCAGACGGTAGCTGTCTCCTGTGGTAGTGCCTGTGTTTCTATCCTAAGCAGGCCTAGCAACTCCAGTTGCTATTGTAATAATTTTTACCCAGAACCTGTCTTCTCAATCCCTCACCTTTCCCCAAGGAATATGCTTTTTTCTCTGTTTAAAAAAGTTACCATGCCCAAACTCCCAGGGATCCCACTTCTAGGAATAGATTCCAAGAAACTAGAAACACCAATCAGAAAGGATATATGTACCTCTATGTTCATAGTAGCACAATTTACAATAGCTAAGATTTGGAAACAGCCTACGCGCCCATCAGCAGATGAGCGGATTAAAAAATGTGGTACATCTATACAATGGAATACTATGCTGATGTAAAAAGGAAGAAACTCCTACCATTTGCAACAGCATGGATGGATCTGGAGAGCATTATGCTAAGTGAAATAAGTCAAGTTGGATAAAGATAAATATCACATGATCTCACTCATTTGTGGAATATAATAAACAACATAAACTGATGAACAAAAACAGATCCAGAGACAGAAAAGCATCAATCAGAACCTCAAACCTCAGAGGAAGGTAGTGGAGGGTGGAGGTAAGGGGGAGAGATCAACTAAAAGACTTGCATGATTGCATATAAGCCTAATAAGTGGACACAGACACCAGGAAGGTGAGGACATGAGCAGTGTGTGTGTGGGGGGGGTGGGGGGGGTGTGGAGGGCAAGATGGGGATAGGGACTCATATGTAATATCTTAAAGAAAAAAAAGTTACCACGCCCAGCTGGCATGGTTCAGGAGTTGAGTGTCAACCTATGAACCAGGAGATCATGGTTTGATTCCAGGTTAGGGCACATGCCCAAGTTGTGCCTTGATCCCCAGTGTGGGGTGTGCAGGAGGAAGCCAATTAATGATTCCCTCTCATTGATGATGTTTCTATCTCTCTATCCCTCTCCCTTCCTCTCTAAAACCAATAAAAATTTATTTTTAAAAAAAAAAGTTACCAAAAAATATAACAACACAATGCAGAGGTAAAGTCCATTGGCTCAAGTCCAATGCTTAGGTTTACATTCATTATTAATATGATATTTGAGGGATTACCTATAGCAAGTGTGTTTATAAATTCACATTCAGACAATCTATTTCATTTAGCAAGGTGTCTACTGGACCACTTGGATCAGAACTGAATATGGTGGTATCATCAAACACAGTTTTACAATTTATGATAGAGTCAGGGGTGGGGGGCACGCCATTTTAGAAAATTTGACAAAGCAAGCATCCAAGAAATGGTTCTATTACTCTTTTAAATAAATAAATAAATAAATAAATAAATAAATAAATAAATAAAATTTATATATATATCATATATATATATATGATATATATATAAATTCTTTTTAACAGAGAGGAAGGGAGAGGGATAGTTAGAAACGTCGATAAGAGAGAAGCATTGATCAGCTGCCTCTTGCACACTCCCTACTGAGAATGTGCCCGCAACCAAGGTACATGCCCTTGACCAGAATCCAACCTGGGACCTTTCAGTCCAAAGGCCGACGCTCAATCCACTGAGCCAAACCAGTTTCAGCTGCTATTACTCTTATATTATTGTTTTAATCCCTGTAGATTTGTAATCATGAAACAGAAATACTAATTTGGTACATCAAATATTCTTTCCAAGTACTATCACACTGAAAGGATTTCAAAGCACACAAAGCTTTATAACTTTATATCTGCCCATCTGTCTTACATTGTTAACCTACCCACTGCTTTACATTACATATTCTATATAAGCGCTTGTTCGATACTTTATATTCTTTTTAAAAAATATATTTTATTGATTTTCCACAGAGAGGAAAGGAAAGGGATGAGAGAGAAACATCAACCAGTTGCCTCCTGCACACCCTCTACTGGGGATGCCCCCCCAACTAATATACATGCCCCTGACCGGATTCGAACCGGGACCTTTCAGTCTGCAGACTGACGCTCTATCCACTGAGCCAAACGGTTTCAGCTTGTTTGATACTTTACAATTTCATGATGTAAGGGCTAGTTATTTCCTTATTTGGTAATTCAAATGCTCTACTAACAACTGTTTCTATTTTTGTCAAGAGATGTTTATCAGGAATATTTCTAAATATTCATATCATGGAAAAGTAATTCTGATGCAAACCTATCTCTAGCATCTAATATTAAATTTTTATGATGCCAGCTGAGCAAAGACATCTAAAACATAGCTTTTTAATTCTATGTAGATAAATGATGTAGAGACTTACTTCTGTCTAGCTTCTTACAAGTATTCTGTTAGAAGTAAAGGAAAAATCTTTGCAACTAAATTTGTAAATTACCACTACATACATCTCCACAGTGGCTCACAAGGCCTAATATTAAGTGTTCAATTTATAAATGCCAAGAGTTTACTATGGCATCACTAACATGCCTCTACTTTCAAACTCTTCTGCTATAAAGAGAAAATAAGGTCAAACTTCTGTTGGTGTTCTACTGTAAAAAGAAAGAAGGCCAAGGCAGCCTTCAACATATTCCATGCTTAGTACAATGTGACTGTTAAGTACATGTATTTCAATAACTGCAAAAGCACAAGTTTATCCCTTTTTGTTATTATACAAAGTTAACGGTAAAAACCTCAAGTAAAACCACATATTCACAGTCGAAAGTTCAGTTATTGAGTTACTGTTAGGTTTAAACACCTGCTCTTAATGTCCAACTTCTGCAGAGAAGCAGCAAACAAATTTAGAACCTTTTTAAGGAGCTATACACCTGCACCTTAATAACTAACAAATTATACTCTCAAAAGTCAATTGTGAGTCAATACTGTCTACTAATTTTGCTGTCATAGATGGAGGGAAGGTGATTATATTCAGAGCTTATATAAATACTACCAAAATTTACTAAAACTTAAAAGTATTAATTTCTGCTTTCATAAACATTTTATAAAGACCCAAAGAAAAAGTAGATTGTTTGAGAGTAAAAAGGTTGCTAGGAAAGGCATTAAAAATGTTAGAACTTGTATGCATGCATATGAGCACAACCAGTAGATGCAAGACAGGGGAGGGAAGCCGAAACCAGTTTGACTAGTGGATAGAGCGTCGGCCTGTGGACTAAAAGGTCCCGGGTTCAATTCTGGTCAGAGGCATGTACCTTGGATGCAAGCACATTCCCAGTAGGGGGTGTGCAAGAGGCAGCGGATCGATGATTCTCTCTCATCGATGTTTCTAACTCACTATCCCTCTCTCTTCCTCTCTGTAAAAAAAAAAAAAAAAAAAAAAAAAAAAAATATATATATATATATATATATATATATATAGTCCCTCTGCTTTAAAATTTAATATGAAATGACTACAAAAATTTCTATATCCAGTCCCAAGCCTTACCCTGAGCTCCAGAGTCACTTACCAAACTGCCTAGCCAATATCTCTACTGTGATGCTATTAGGTCCCTCAACTTTAATATATTCAAAACGATTTTCCAGTATACCCCCAAATCCTACACTACCCCAAGAGTTCCTCTTTACCAAGTCACACAAGACAAATACGAAAAGTCTTCTTTAATTTATCCTCTGCCCTGTATCCTAATTAGTACCAAATGACATATTGGAGATGGGGAAAAGTGGCTGGATCTAGGATGTATTTCGAGGGACAGCCTCTACCTAAAATGCTCTTTCCCCAGATACACACATGGCTGGCTCCTTGGATTGAGATTCAAGAGCACTGCTCTTACTAAATGTCATTTCCTCTTAAAAAGGACTCCTCTGATCATCTAGTTGAAAGAGCACTTCCTCATCCCTGTCAATCTCTCCTTTTAGAGTTTTTCTTTACAACAATTATCATTACCTGACACTGTCTTTTTCTCACTATACTATAAGATCCAAGAAGGCAGGAGCCTAGAATAGTAATGTGCATATATACTAGCCGTATCAGTTTATAATGCAGATTTTGTAATAAAAGAAAACACGATAATTTCAAGAGAAACATGAAAAGTGCTTTATTCAAAGTAATGTCCGTCGCTAGCTACACATTTACCCTATCTTTCAGGTAACCTGTGGATATCGTCCCAATAGAACTTTTCTTGTTTTGAGGCAAACCATTCAGAGACCCAATTTTCCACTTCTTTATATGTTTTGAAGCACTACTCAGAAAGTGCATGTGCCATCGATCAGAACAAGTGATAATCTGAAGGAGCAAGGTCTGGCGAATACGGCGGGTGGGTTAATACTTCCAGGCAAGATCTTTTAACTTGTCTTTAACTGGTTTTGAAGTGTGTGATGGTGCATCATCATGAAGCAAAATTACTTTGCAGTGTCTTCTGGCCCATGCTGGTCATTTCACGATCAAAGCGTGGTTCAAATTGATTATTTGTTGTGGGTAGCTATCAGTATTAACGGTTTCACCTGGTTTTAGAAGCTCATAATATCATACATCACACCTTCCTGATCCCACCAAAAGCAGAGCATTGTCTTCTTCCAAAGTGATCTGGCCTTGCAGTCGATGTTGATAGCTGACCTGGATCAACCCATGATTTTGTGCATTTGGGATTCTCAAAATAAATCCACTTTTCATTGCCAGTCACAATTGGATGAAAAAAAAAAAGACTTTCTTTAATGACTTTGCGGTTTTCCATTTGTCCTTCGTTCAGTTGATGTGGCATCCAATTTCCTTCCTTTAAAATCTCTTCCATTGCTTGTAAATGATTGGAAATTTTTTGTTAAGCAATATTTAATCTTTCTGCAAGTTGTTTTTGAGTTTGACATGCATCTTCATCCAATAATGTTGGTCTTCAAACTTTTTCAGTTGACCTGGACAATGTCTTTTATCAAAATCATCACTTTTAAAGAGCTTAAACAAGCGTTCACAAGTATCTTGAGATGAAGAATGTTAACCATAAGCTTCCCAAAGTATTCATCAGCACTTTTCTTCAAAATAAAGGAATGAATGAAAACTTCTCACAAATGCTTTTTTTGGGGGGGGCACGAAATTTGACATTTTTAAGTGTAAAAATATCTATGATAACACCTTCAGAAAATTTGACATATGAAGTTTTTGTCAATATAACAAAATAGCATACATATCAAATTGCATTTATATCAACATATGTGTAACTCCATCTATTGAAAAAAATCCATATTAACCAGTACACCTAGTATTTGTTAGAGAACCGTGGGGATGGGAAATAGGAGAAGGAATTGCTCATAGCATCATAAATTAGTATAATCTTTTTAGTAAATATCTTGGCAAAACCTGCTAAAGGCCACAAAAATGTTCTTATCTACTGCAGAATGGCTCGTAAACCTGATTGGATATTTTCAGGCAGCCTATTTTAATTCTTTCACACAGGCTTCAGCCTAGTCTGAGGCTCAGTCTCCCCATGTCATTAACTGCAGGGTTTCAGAAGAGGTTCAACTCATCACTTACTTCTCCTCCCATTCCCAGGTGGCTATAGCAGAAAGAGAAACATGATGCTCACTGTTTGACAAAATAATGGGAGTGCAATTATCACTAGGTCAAATGCTTTATGTTACTTTCAGGAAACAACTTATTAATACAGCATGGGCTAGGAAGATTATATTTGATTCAAAGTACATTGTAAGCCAAAATACACTTTTGCTATTTAAATGTTAACCCTCTTGTTGCTCAGGATAACTTTCATATCCTTCTTTTCTAAAGAAGAGAAAATCTGCCGGGACCAGATTGGCTCAGTGGATAGAGCGTCGGCCTGCGGACTGAAAGGTGCCGGGTTCGATTCCGGTCAAGGGCATGTACTGTGGTTGCGGGCACATCCCCAGTAGGGGGTGTGCAAGAGGCAGCTGATCGATGATTCTCTCTCATCGATGTTTCTAACTCTCTATCACTCTCTCTTCCTCTCCGTGAAAAATCAATAAAAATATTTTTTTAAAAAAATAAAGAAGAGAAAATCAATGTAATATCCTATAAGAAAATTCCCAATACACAAACTAAAATGTTGCTGCTTCTTTTCTCCAAATAGCACTTTAACAAACATATATAAGAGTCCTGATCATTTATCCCAACAAAATTAACTAAATGTTAATAAAGAAAAATCTGTATCAGCTTAGAGCTACTAATGCATGCTAAAACAAGATTAATAACAGCAAACCAGAGATAATAAGGGTTTATTTTTTTAAATATATTTTATTGAAATTTTACAGAGAAGAAGGGAGAGAGATAGAGAGCTAGAAACATCGATGAAGAGAGACATCGACCAGTTGCCTCCTGCACATCCCCTACCGGTACATGCCCTTAACCAGAATCGAACCAGAGACCTTTCAGTCTGCAGGCCGAATGCTCTATCCACTGAGCCAAACCGGCTTCGGCAAGGGTTTATTTTTAAGTGCCATTCTTTAGATGGATAATGGTATTTAGAATTATTTGTCTGGCTTACAAGGAGACCTTTTTACTCAATATGATGCTTGCTTCTCCTGGTCATAACTAACCAAACCTCTAGTGGGTATCAAGCTAAGGCACTGCCAGACATCCTCCCCAACCTGCAGGGCTGCCTCCTCTCTGCCTTTCACACTTGTCTCTCTCTGAACAGGCTGGCTCTGTAACATATCAATTGAGATGCTAACTGGAGAACTGAGGAAGATGATAGGCAGAGAGACAGAGTAATGAAGCAGATGCACAGAGACAAGCAGAGATGACATATGGAAACCAAGTATTGCCTCAATTCCTGGTAGATCTCAAGTTCCTGGACCCAGGTCTTTCTGAGGGCCCACTCAATTCCTTGAGACATCTCTGTATCTTTATAATAAATTCCCTTTTTGTTTAAGTCTATGCTGATTTCTGTAACCTACAATAAAAAATTCCAACATAATAATCTAGGAATAGTAAAGCCATTATAGCAAGTTACTTCCTGAATGCTTAGTATTTCTTTTCTAGCATAATCCTTCACCATAACTGAGAACAAATCCATTGATAATAAAATGTATTATCATTTACATTTTATGACAATAAAATGTAACTTCAAAGAAAGTAGATTCAGAAATGATAGTTTCAAACAAACAAAAATTGAATAATTTCTCCAAAACATCTAAGTCCTAACGTTGTTCTAGGAATCATGCCATGGAGGATAGCAGGCTTTTCTGAACTATACATGAGTATACACATTTCCCTGAGAAAATCCAAAGAAAAACACTGAACCAAAGAAAATAGTGAAGGTAAGAAAATCTCCAGCAATACCAAAGCAAATTTATTACTGTACCCAACAAAGGAGCAGGGTGGAAAACTTTCTGGAGACAGCAATTTAGTAGCTGTTCAGAAGGAGCAACTTAGCAGCAATTTATAAGAATGCTACCATGCCCATTAGCCTACTGTATTCAGTAGCATTCAAATTTACTATCTCATTCGTTGCATGAACAAAAACAATTATAAATTAATGACAGTAAATTAAATTTGAAGAACCCGAGTGGTGGGGGGAAAAAAAAATACCAGTAGGAAAAGTACAACTTACATTAAAAATACTTACATTAAAACATTTACAAATACTTACATTTTTTGCCGTCATGTCAAATTGTATTCGGTTTAAAATTCTGTAAAGCCATTAAGAACAAAAATAAAAAAACTTTGTCTTCAGTCATTCCTTAAAAAAGCATCCTGTTAAAGAAAGGAAAAAGAGAGAATAATGTAATAATAATAATAATAATAATAGGTAACATTTATGTCATATTTACTATGTGCTGTGTATATATATTGCTCTTTAAGTAAATTATTTAAGTTAATCCTCACAACAAAGCTATAAGGTATGTACCATTTTAATCCCCATTTTCCAAATAAAAATTGGGGTTTAAAGAGGTTAAATATTTTGATCAAATCAACTCAGCTAAGAAGTGACAGGGCCGGGGGTTTTGAAATATTATACTACGCTGCTTTAGGCAACCCATTGAAAGAAACAATGTTTCTTGGAGAAATAGCCAATTCCAGGTCTGGAGCAAGATAAACCTAGAACATTTTACTGTGTCTAAAGTAAGGAAGGGCTCAAAAAATGCGCTTACAACCGGACAATGAACACCAAAGTACATATTGCTAGCAACAGGTTGTAACAGACTACAAACCCATTGAATAAAATAATATTCCAGGAACTCACAGTAATATGAACAAATAATGAGGAAGAAGGGGAAGCTCTTCTTTGTAATACAATGCCAAGTATTCAATACAGAGTGTGACAAAGCAGGTTTACAGTTGTTCATATGGAAAATACAAGTTCATTAATAGATAACAAAAGGGATCCAAGATGGCGGTGTAGGTAAACACACCTAAACTGCTGCTGTGCACAACAATTTCAAAACTACAACTAAAAGACAAAACGTCTACCACCCAGAACCACAGGAAAGCTGGCTGAAAGAAAGCCCTATAACTAGACTGAAAGAGAAAGGAGCATTCAGGGGACAAGTGCTGAAAAACTGAGGAAAGGGGGCGCATGTGTGATACAGGCTGGCGGGCGTTGCTTTCTTCAACCTGAAGAGAGACAAGCTCCCAATCTCTCTGAAATCCAGTTTCTGGGGAGAAGCTAGACTGTCTGCCATTGAGTTGGAAAGTGAGGGTGGCTTGCTTGCAGGGCTGCATGCAAGAATAATTGTTTGCTGGTGGGGGTGCAAAACGCGGGGACGCGGTGGGAAAGGCAGAGAGGTTGACAGGCAACCATCGCTGTTGGCCACGCCCTAGCCTAGTGATGCCCTGAGACTCAGCCCCGCACAACCTACAAACACACCCAAGCTCCAAGCAGCGGCTTTTGCATATGAATGGCCTCTAGTACAGTATAACCTAGCAAACCTGAAGCCTGGTGCAGACAGCCCCAAAGCCTCCAAACTCCAAGCAGGGAGGAGAGGACTATGGTTCTCGCTGTAGCTCCTGCAGGGTGGCCCCAGACAGTAGCTGAACTGTGCCCCATTGGAGATCCAGGAGCCAGTGTTCTTAGTGGTCAGTTTCATCTCCTCACACCCATAAGCGACACATTCGGGATACGCGCTCAGTGAGCACCGAAGCCCCACTGAAACAAGGCACATCTCCAGTGCAGCAGTTCTTCCTTTATACACACAGTGGGTCTTCACAGCCAATTGGCCTGGAGGTCAATTCCTCCCAGTGTACCAACAGCAATCAAGGCTTAATTACACCAAGACTTTACACTCAGCCCACAACAGGGTGTACCAAGAGCGACCACATCAGGTGATTGGGGGAGCTGAGCTACTGACCCTTATAGGTCACTGACCACACAAAGCCATTCCATCAACACAGGAAGGCAGCCAAAATGAGGAGGCACAGAAGCATGTCACAAATGAGAGAGATGGAGAAAAGTAAACTTCTGGACGACACAGAGTTCAGAACCACATTTATAAGTTTACTCAAGAATCTCCTAAAAACCTTGGAGAAACTTGATGAGACCTCCAAGAAGTTTAGTGAGACCTTCAAGGACCTTAATGAGAATGCCAAAAAAATGGAAAAGGACCAGTCAGAAATTAAGCATACACTGTCTGAAATAAAGAATATACAGAAACTCAACTGTTGATCAACGTACCCTAAGAGTCAAACCAAAGATCTGGAATATGAGGAAACAAAAAACACCCAATCAGAGAGGTAGAAAGAAAGAAGAATCCAAAAGTGCAAGGATAGTGTAAGGAGCCTCTGGGACGACTTTAAGCATACCAACATCTGGATTTTTGAGGTACCAGAAGAAGAGAGCTAGTAGGATATTGAAGGCCTATTGGAAGAAATAATGACAGAAAACTTTCCCTACCTGGTGAAAGAAATACTTACAAGTTCAGGAGGCACACAGAACCCTAAACAAGAGGAATCCAAAGAGGACCACACCAAGACACACCATAATTAAAATGCCAAGGGCAAAAGACAAAGAGAGAATCTTGAAAGCAGCAAGAGAAAAACAGGTAGTTACCTACAAGGGAGTACCCATACAACTGTTAGTTGATTTCTCGACAGAAACTATGCAGGCCAGAAGGAAGTGTCAAGAAATATTCAAAGTGATGAACAGCAAGAACCTACAACCAAAATTACTCTACCCAGCAAAGCTATCATTCAGAATTGAAGGCCAGATAAAGAGCTTCACAGACAAGAAAAAGGTAAAGGAATTCATCAACACCAAACCAGGATTACATGAAATGCTGAAGGGTATTCTTAAGGAGAGGAAGAAGAAAAAGGTAAAGGTAAAAACTATGAACAACAAAAAGACATCAAATACATGCCTACCAACAAGTAAATCTAAAAATCAAGTGAATAAAAAATCTGAAGAACAAAATAGACTGGTGAATATAATAGAATCAGGGACATAAAAAGGGAGTGGACTAACAATTTTCAGGGGTAAGGGGGTTTGAGGGGTGCAGGAAGAGATTGGACAAAAATCTTATACCTATGGATAAAGACAGTGGCGGGGGTAAGGGCATGAGGTGGGGTTGGGGAATCAGGTGGAAGGGAGCTATGGGGGAGGGGGGGAGAGGAATACCTGTAATAATCTGAACAATAAAGATTTATTATAAAAAATAAAGCAGAATTTAATTTAAAAAATAGATATCAATACAAGAATAAGTTGTGTTTCATGTACTCAAAACTGTAAACATATTTTTGTCCCGCCCTGTATAAAGGAGTGATGGAGTTAGAAAAACCCCAATTTGTGGTTTTCTATAAAGGATTGGGCAAAAATCATTGCTAAATACTAAAATTAGCCAATCAGAATTGGTGAGGATATTTACATACTTTTGAAATATCTCCCCACAAAATACACATAATTTCAAATATTACAGTAAAAAAACATGATACACACCATTTTAGCAAAAGTGATCAAAGCTACCAAATGACCACTAACACAACATTTGCATCTCCTCAAATGACTGAGATGGATATAATTTCTGAGGTTTTCCACCCAAAATGCATAATCTAAATCTAATCTTAAGGAAATAGAAAAATTTAAATGGAGAAACATTCTGTAAAAGAAAGGACTGAATTCTTGTAAAATATTGGTGTCACTAGAAACAAAAGAAGCCTGAGAAACATTCCCAAATTAAAAATTGGGAATTCAGAGGAAGAAGGAAAAAGGCAAGAACTAATGAAATAGGGGGAAAAATCAAAATAACAACTGGTTTTAAGTGCCTTGCTTGAAGTACGGATCTAATAAGTAAAGTAGCATTGTTAGCGGAGGGGAAAGTGCATGGATTTTTTTTTTTTTTTTTTTAATCTAGGCTCAGTCTCAGCTCTGAAACTTATTAGTTGTGTGACTCTGACCAAGTGACTTAACCTCTTTGAGCTTAAGTATCCTCATCTGAAAAATAGGTATACTGAGTTTTTTAGGGTTATGTTAGGAGCAAATTATAGTTGAAGTGAAAATCATCCAATCCACAAAGGCAATGTGCTGAATGCCCTACAATTTATATATAAACACTGAATACTCCTAATCACAAAAATTTTTAATTTAAATATATTGAAGATTTCCTTATTACTGACTCAAATGTAGTTATGACAAAAATCAAAAAGGTCTTTCCCATCCGAAGTACCAGTTAAATTTTAGAAACCTGCCATATCTGTCTAAGGCAGACACTGTTGCCTACCCAATATCATTTTCTTCTTCTTCCTTAGAAGTTGAGGGTGGCCATGTGTTCAATTAAAAACACTACACTCTCAGTTTTCCTCTCAGGCTGGCTGACTATTTGATATAATTCTGACAAATTCTGGCCAATCTATACATATAAAAGCCTAAGCAAACGTTACAACCAGATGACCAGCCGGTAGCTATGACGCGTACTGACCACCAGGGGGAAGATTCTCAATGTAGGAGCTGCTCCCTAGTGGTCAGTGCGCTCCCACAGCCAACTTCCCATGGCTGACCAACCTCCCGTGGGCCCTCCCTTCACTGGCTGGCCCTGGCCCTAAGTGGCCAATCAGGACTGGGTGAAGTGGCCCTGAATGGCCCTGATCACCGGCCAGCTGATCACCCCATCATGCACCAATCTGTGCACTGGGCCTCTAGTCTATATACTAGAAACCCACTGACAATTTCGGCGGAACAACTGGAACAACCAGTCACTATGACATGCCGGCCGCAGGGGCTGCCACCAGTGCTACTGCCGAGCCCAAAGGCCCCAAGACCGCAGCCAACACCAAAGTGCCAGTAAAGAACAACGCAAAGGTGGCCAGCATGAGTGTGCAGCTTGAGATGAAGGCTCTGTGGAATGAATTCAATGATCTGGGCACCGAGATGATTGTCACCAAGACTGACAGGTCAGGGCCCCTCTCCCTGCTGCAACCCTCCCCACGTGGTGCCAGTCTCGGGCAGCAGGCTTTGTCCTGATCCATGCAAGCGAAACTGAGAAGTGGGATGGGAGAGCATGGTCTGGCCTCTGCAGGTCCTTCTCAGTGTGGGCCATCTCCTTTGCTCTCCGAGTCCTAGTTCTAGTAATAGCTGCCTGGCACACCAGTTGAGAGTGGCATTCAGCTGACCTATGGGCGCCAGACGCTGGCCTCATGGCTGGTGAGCACGAGCCTATCCTGCCTCTGTGACAGTGC